AGACTTTGTTTCGTCGGAACCGATTTCGTGTGCAAATTTGGTACAACCCCGTCTAGGATTTTTCAAGTGTATATTATCTTGTATCTCTTCCGCCTGTGTTCCATAGAATACAAGTCGAGGAGCTTTAACTGTTCCTAGTAATATGGTGTTTTACCATACTTATGTGTGCTATGAAGGTTCTCTGTACATTTTCTATGTCAGCAATTTCACCTGCCTTGAAAAGCATTGTTAGTGTGCAGCAATATTCCAGCCTAGATAGAGCAAGCGATCTGAAGAGCATCATCATCCCTTGGCATCCTGCCATTTTTTCTATCAAATGTGAAGAGCTCAGCTGAAAATTCAATGAAGTATTTAATTTGGAGACAGAAAGACTCCCAGAAAATTGAGGTGGTATGGTGCACCAGCAAGTGCTGGATACACTGCATATAATCGAGGACGAGGTTTAGAAACTGCTAGGGAAACTAGATACCTTGAAGGCGGCAGGCCCAGATAATATCTCTCTTTTGGTTCAGAGAGAGAAGGAGCAGATGCATTGTGCTTGCCACTAACAACTGTCTTCAATAAATTTATCAAAACAGGGCAATTGAATGAGGTGTGGAAGACAGCAAATGTTGCCGTGATTTTTTAGAAAGGAGACAGACTGAACAAAATTACAGACCAGTGATGCTGACATGTATGTAAAGCTGTGGAGAAGATTATCAGGAAAAGAGTGATGTAGCACCTGAAATGGAATGGACTAATACATAACAACCAACACAACTTCAGGAAAGGTAAATCCTATTGGAGTTCTACAACAAGGTAACAGAAGTAAGAAAAGAGAGAGAAGGATAGGTAGAATGCATCTTCTTGGAATGTAAGAAGTGTTTCGGCACAGTGCCATACAAGAGACTGGTTGAAAAACTAGAGGAGCATGCAGGAATAGGAAGGAAAGTAGTGCAATGGATCAATGAATACCTGACAGTAAGGAAGCGGCGAGTGTCGGACTAAGACGAGGAGTCAGAATGTGTGCATGTGTGGATTGGGGTTCCACAAGGGTCAGTCCTGGCTCTGATGCTGTTTCTTGTGTATGTGAATGATATGACGGAAAGGATGGAGTCAGAGGTGTCCCTGTTTTAGATGATGTGAAAGTAATGAGAAAAATACAAGGGAGCTCGACAGGTTGCAAGCCTGGTCTGACAAATGGTTCCTAGATATTAATCCCAGCAAGTGCAAAGTTTGAAGATTGGGAAAGAACAAAGCACACTGCAGCCTGAGTACAGCCTAAGAAGTAAGCATCATACCGAGCACATCTCCTGGGGTGCACATCAACCACATAACTGCTGCAGCATATGGGCGCCTAGCAAACCTAAGAATATTATTTCGACATCTATGGAGTCATTCACCACACTGTACACCATGTACATCAGACATATATTGGAGTATGCAGCACAAGTACGGAACCCTCCTCCTCCTCCAGGTAACCCACACCTGGTCAAAAAAGTAGAGAAATTTAGAGAAAGTGCAAAGGTTTGCAACAAGAGTAGTCCCGAAACTGACGGGCTTGTGCAACAAGGAGAGGTTAAGGGAATTCAGTCTGACAGTGCTTGAAAACAGGAGGAATAGCGGGCACATGATAACATAAAAAAATACTGAGAGGAATTGACAGGGTGGATAGGGACAGAGATGTGACACGGCAATAAGATGTCACAACTGGAATTAAAAATCTCAGATGAATCACAGGGATGTTAGGAAGTATTTCATCAGCCATAGAGTTCTCGGGAAGTGGAGCAATCTAGAGGGTGATGTAGTGGAGGCAGGATGCATACATAGCTTTAAGAAGAGGTATGATAAAGCTCATGGAGTAGTGAGAGAGTGGACATAGTAGCAACCATTGAAGAGGCGAGGCCAGGAGCTATGGCTCGACCTCTGCAACCACAATTAGGTAAATTAGATGAGTACACACACACACACACACTAACAAACACTAACACTAACACTAACCCACACATGCAACACACAGATATACAACCGACGCACACACTACAATAACAAGTAATTTAACAAAAATGGGACCCCAAAAGGGTATGTGGAAGACGCAGGGAAACAGAGGAAGGTAGGGCTGGAAAGGAAGAATAAATGGAGGAGTTAAGGAGAAGGAAGGAACAAGTGTGTGAAAGGAAGCTAGGCGAGCTTTTCTCTCAACTGGAGAAGAGAACAAGAGTTGGAAGCAGGAGTCAAAGCTGTAGAAGCCAGAATACAGAGCTTAGAGTTGAAGTGAAAATGCTGAAGAAGGATATAGAGCCAAAAATCAGAAGGAATGGAAGGAGTTAAGTTAGACGTAGAGGCCCTGTCAAGGTACCACGGAATGTCGAGGAATGAAAGTGGCATGATTTTGGGCACAGTGACAGCAGTAAGAGAATTGTAGGTAGAGATGATGATAAGCCTCCCTGCAGAGGTGTAATTAGGTCACTAGAAAATCCAGGAAATAAGGAAAGCAGCAATGGCTATGCTTGAATGGGTCCCACAAAAGCAGAGGAAAAAGCAATGGGAAGAGGAGAGGGAGAGGTAAGTTTTTATTCATGGGCTTCAGGAGACTGGAAGGAGGATATACGAATTAAGCTGACTGGGAGAGGAAAACAAGAAACTGAAAATATCATCAAACAAACAGGAGAGGAGGACGTGTCTGAGTGATAAATTTTCAGGGAATATGGAGATACACGAGGGAAAGAAATCGGCCAAACTGATTTTCAAAATTGAAGTGGTGTGGAACAGCAAGAATACCATAGGGTGTACCTAGGTTGCAAAAGAATGAGAACAGAAAGACAGAAAATGAGATGATACAACGATGAAAGGGGGCAAGAAAGAGAGACAAGGAGGGGACAACCAGAGTTGGGAAGAGCTGCAAGCACAATCACCCACAGAACCCCATAACGAAACATATTATCCCAATGCAAACACTCCACACTCACAGACCCCACAATAGCAGACACCCATAGCACCCTGCCAGGTCTCACACTCCCCCAGCCCACACCTCCTCCCGACTGCAGTGTTCAAAAAGAAGCTGAAGGTATGGTACACCAGTGCAGATGCAATGATGATTAACTGTGAGGAATGGCATGAAAGACTCATGGATGCAGTAACAGATATCATAAAACTTATCGAAACCAAACTCACAGGAATGATAAAAGACACCATCTTTCGAACTGGATATCAGAAACTAAGGGAATAGTGGGGTGGAGATGCACTGCTCATCAAAAACCAGTGAAGTTCTGAGGAGCTGGACGGAGAGGACAGAGGGGAAGGAAGGGACTACATAACAGGAACACTTAAGACTGGGGTTTCAAGGTGGTAATTGCAGTGGTGTATAACCCACCACAGAATAGCAGGAGGACAAGACAGGAATATAATGAGAGCAATGGTTGGTACACTATCTGAGATATCCAGAAAGGCCCACGTGGGCAGGGGAAATTTACTAGTTCTGGGTCACTTCAATCGCAAGGAAACTGACTGGGAAAACCTGGAGTCGTATGAGGGCCCAGAAACGTGGAGGGCTAAGATGATGGAGGTATTACTGGAAAACCTCATGCATCAATATATTATCAACCAGAGAGAGAGGAGAGGATGAACCAGCAAGGCTGGACCTCATATTCAGCTTGAGTAGATCGGATATCACTTATGAAGGGTGCCTCGAATCTAGCAATCATGTGGTCCTGAGCTTCGAATACATTGTAGACCAAAAACTGGAGAGAGAAGCAGCATGAGAAGGACGGGAAAAGAGAAAACTATAAATGAGGGGAATATACAGGCAACGGGAATTTCCTATATGAAGAAAATGGGAATGAGAACTGGCGGGTAAAACAGTAAATGAAATGGTGGAATACATGACCCAAAGTTATAGAGAGGCCAAACCTAAGTGCTCTAGAGAATGAAAAAAAAGCGTGCAAGACAAACGACGCAGGAAAATAACGAGATCATTTAAAGAATCTGAAATGAATATGCATGCATAAGGAGCCAGTTTCACTGATATGTATAGTATGTAAAGTCATGGAGAAGATTATCAGAAGAGTGGTGGAGCATCTGGAATTGAATGAGTTTACATACGATAAATAGCATGGTTTGAGTAAAGAGAGATCCTGTGTCATAAACCTACCGGAGTTTTATGGCAATGTGACAGAAGTGAGACAGGAGAGAGAGGAGTAGGTAAACTGCATATTCTTGGACTGTAACAAGGCTTTTGACACAGTCCCGCATACAAGATTAGTGCAAAAGCTACAGGAGCAGGCAGGAATAATAGGAAAAACACTCTAATGGATCACAGAATACCTAAGAGGAAGGAAACAACGAATGATGATACATAACGAAATGTCAGAGTGGACGTACATGACAAGCGGGCTTCCACAAGGGCCAGTCCTAGAGCCTGTGCTGTTTCTGATACATGTAAATGGCATGACGAAAGGATTGATTCAGAGGTGTCTCTGTTTACAGATGATATGAAGCTAATGCGGGGAATTCACACAGATGAGGATCAGGAAGGACTACAAATGGATATGGACAGCAAACCTGGCTGCAAACCTGGTACAATAAATCTCATGAAGAAGGCAGTGTGGACTTAGTAACGACTAGCGAAAAGGCCGGGCCAGGAGCTGTGACCTCACCCCTGCAACCACAAACAGGTGTGTACAAATAGAGTACACGCATGCAAACGCTCACAACGAAAAAAAACTCTCTCTTCTTGCTTCTACTCGTTTCTTGCCTTACCTCTCGCCTCTTCTATTCACGCCTTTTCTCTTCTCACTTTTTATCTTCTCTTTTCTCCTCGCCTCTACTTTATTTTCCTGACATCAACCCTTTCTCAAGTATTTACTTCACACTTCACAGAGCATCATCTTCCAGCATTCTCTCCACTAAGTACTTCCTTCATCTTAGTTCTTCAACTCCTTGCAATTTGCAACTCTGTTATTTCTTCCAGTGTTTTTCCTCGAGTCTCGGGGATGGTAACAGCCACAAGAACAGCGAGGAGGACACCACATCCAGAAAAAATCCAAAACGCCCCATAACTTCCGAACGCTGCCACTATGTAAGGGAACGACTGTAAGGCTGTGAATGCCCCAAAGAAAAACATTGTGTTTAAAATAGGTACAACAGTAGAACGAACGGAACTTGGAAATAATTCACTCTGAAATACACATATAACTGGGGAAACAGAGAAAAACGAATAGACAGCTAAGCAGACGATTGGTAACCAATTTTGTTCATGGAAACTTCTGTCGTGAACTTGGTCAAAGAAGTATACACCAAGTCCTATCATGCACAAACTACATGTAATGCAAGGTGTTGCAAATAATGGATTGCGATCAATGCGGTCAATTATACATGTGTAAAAGAACGTTCCTAAGACCCGAATAATTCCTAATAATACTGCACACAAATATGAATTCATGCTAATATCTGCTGTATTTATAATGACTACGGTGTATATTGGTATCACTGATAATCCATTGAAATGTTGGCAAAAAAGAACAAAAGACATGATAATAAGATATCTTAATGTTAATGGAGTTCTAATTTGTCGTAGCTGGTCTAATATATTACCACCGCCATTAGTCGTCTTCTCAAGCTCATCTCTAATGTCTTGCATTTCTTTGTTGACATCATAGTTTGGTCCCCGAAAGAACAACAAGGATTTGTGAGCTCTGTCCATGTAGCCTTGTGTGGCCAGCCAGCGAGGGGAGTTAGGTAAATATAGCAGACAAACAAAAGGAATTACAGTGTTGACAAAACCACATGTTAATGCTACTTTCCGCCAAGTCAGGTTTGAACTGCCCAGAGCATATGCCAGAAGAGTGCCCATCTGACGCGAGATATCAAGAGTAGACATTAGTCGCCCTCTTATTTTACTGTGTGAAAGCTCTGCCACGTAAGTCGAGGAGGAATTTGCTATAGAGCTCGTCGTGATGCCTTGGAAGAAGCGAACTAGCAGGACGACCCAGTTTGTGGGTGCTGTGGCAAAGATAATCCAGCTGGCGAGGGATATGGGAAGAGATAACAAGAGCGTCACTCTCTGGCCCAACTTCACCATCGGTACACTGACAGTCAGTGACCCCAGCAAGGCACCTACACAAGTCATGCTTCCTGAAATAAATAAAACACACTGTAGATTGTTTGGCTGTCTAAAAAAATATATTTAGTGTTAAGTTCGACAAAAAAGTACTTGTTACAATTTTTTTAAAGATTGAAATAGAAACATATTTCCCATTGATCTTCATTACACTGAAGAAGTTCGTGAGGAAAATACGAAAAAATATTTGCTAAAACATACGAATATAATTGTTCATTGCACCATCGTTAGTACGAAGAGTACAAGCTGTGAAAATAACTACTGCATTATTAAAACATAACTCCATCAGTCTGATGAATAGGATGCTCATGCAGCACCTTAGTATCTTTATTTACATGATGAATAACGAATCCATGCAGCACCTTGGTATCTTTACTGACATGATGAATAAGAAACTCATGCAGCACCTTAGTATCTTTATTTACATGATGAATAACGAATCCATGCAGCACCTTGGAATCTTTACTGACATGATGAATAAGATACTCATGCAGCACCTTGGTATCTTTACTGACATGAAGAATAAGATACTCATGCGGCACCTTGGAATCTTTATTGACATGATAAATAAGATACTCATGCAGCACCTTGGTATCTTTATTGACATGATAAATAAGATACTCATGCAGCACCTTGGTATCTTTATTGACATGAAGAATAAGATACTCATGCGGCACCTTGGAATCTTTATTGACATGATAAATAAGATACTCATACAGCACTTTGGTATCTTTATTGACATGATGAATAAGATGCTCATGCGGCACCTTAGTACCTTTATTGACATGATGAATAAGATACTCCTGCAACACCTTGGTATATTTATTAACATGATGAATAAGATACTCATGCGGCACCTTGGTATCTTTATTGACATGATGAATAAGATACTCATGCGGCACCTTGGTATCTTTATTGACATGATGAATAAGATACTCATGCAGCACCTTGGTATATTTATTGACATGATGAATAAGATACTCATGCAGCACCTTGGTATATTTATTAACATGATGAATAAGATACTCATGCGGCACCTTGGTATCTTTATTGACATGATGAATAAGATACTCATGCGGCACCTTGGTATCTTTATTGACATGATGAATAAGATACTCATGCAGCACCTTGGTATCTTTATTAACATGATGAATAAGATACTCATGCAGCACGTTGGTATCTTTATTAACATGATGAATAAGATACTCATGCAGCATGTTGGTATCTTTATTAACATGATGAATAAGATACTCATGCAGCACCTTGGTATCTTTATTAACATGATGAATAAGATACTCATGCAGCACCATGTGTGGAAAAAAAAAGTTAGCTGATTCCGCTACTGCTAAGTCTTGAGGAGGGAGGTGGCAGTGGTGGTGTTCCTGAAGGGATTTCATGACCTACGCACCCTACACAACAAGGCTGTAAGTTCCTGTTAACTGTACAAGTTGAATGTATTCAAGCTGTTATGTTAATGTTAGCTGATGCCACCTGGACGGACCCACATTTTGCTGAAGTCTTCAAGAGCCCGGAAATGCACCTGCACCCGGAGCACACAAACTGTCCTTGTCTAGTGAAAGGTAAGATATCCTGTGTTATCCAGGGATGGGTTGGCAGGTTCTTCGATTGAATTGACTGGATCATTAACTAATTAATCAATACACACACACACACACACACACACACACACACGCACACACACACACACACACACATCGACATGTGCCTAGGACAAAAAGGTAACTAACTAACTAACACGAGGTGGAGGAGTGACACTGCTTATCAAAAACCAATAGGATTTTGATGAGCTTGAGAGAGGAGACAGAGGAGAAGCAAGCGACTACATAATAGAAACCTGGAGGTCCATAGGTGGTAAATGCAGTTATGTATAACCTACCACAGAACAGCAGGAGGTCATGGCAAGAATATGATGAGAGTAACAGAGCGATGGTTGACACACTACCTGAAGTGGCCAGAAGGGATCATGAAAGCCACATGGGGGCCCAGAAACGTGGAGGGCTCAAGATGATGGAGGTGGTACTAGAAAACCTCATGTTCCAACACATAAGCGAGAAAGAGAGAGGAGGAGAGGAAGAACCAGCATGACTGGACCTAGTGTTCACCTTGAGTAGTTCAGATATTGAGGACATCACATATGAAAGACCTCTTGGGGCCAGTGACCACGTGGTTCTAGGCATCAAATACACAGTAGTTACAAGTGGAGAACGAAGAGGGAAGGGCAGGGCGAATGAAGCCAAACTACAAGATAGGGGACTACACAGGCATGAAGAATTTCCTGCTAGGGTTCAATGGGACAGAGAACTGGCAGGGAAGTCAGTAAATGAGATGACGGATCAAGTGAAAACAGTATGCAAGAAAGCCGAGGAGAGGTTTGTACCCAAAGGTAACAAATAACGAGAAAGCCAGGATGAGCCCTTGGTTCACCCAAAGATGTAAAGAATGGAAGATGTATAGAAGGCAAATGTCCCAGGAGAAAAAAGAGAGCAGCTGTCGAGCCAGAAATGAGTATGCACAGGTATGAAAGGAGGCCAAACGTCAATACGAAAATGACATAGCAAGGAAAGCCAAATCTGACCTGAAGCTGTTTACAGCCACATCAGGAGAAAAAAATAACAGTCACGGACCAGGTAATCAGGCTGTGGAAGGAAGGAGGGGAAATCACAAGAAACGATCGAGAAGTATGTGAGGAGCTCAACTTGAGATTCAAAGAAAGGTTCACAGAGGAGACAGAAGGGACTCCAGAAAGACTGAGAGTTAAGGTACACCATCAAGTGTTGGACACAATACATACAACCGAGGAAGAAGTGAAGAGGCTGCTAAGCGAGCTAGACACCTCAGAGGCGATGGGGCCGGATAATATATCTTCCTTTGGGTTCTTTGAGAGGGAGCAGAGGCGCTATATGAACCACTACCAATAATCTTCAACACATCTTTCGAAACAGGGTGACTACCTGAGGTATGGAAGACAGCAAATGTAGTCCCAATTTTTTTTAAAAGGGAGACAGACACGAAGCATTTAACTACAGACCAGTGTCACTGACATATAGTATGCAAAGTTATGTAGAAGATTATCAGGAGAAGAGTGGTTGAGCACCTAGAAAGGAATGAGCTTATCAATGACAACCAGCACGGTTTCAGTGACGGGAAATCCTGTATCACAAACCTACTGGTGTTCTATGCAAGGGTGACAGCAGTAAGACAAGAAAGGGGTGGGTAGATTGCATTTCCTAGGGCTATAAGAAAACGTTTTACGCAGTTCAACATCAGAGATTAATGCAAAAGCTGCAGGACCAGGCAGGGATAAGAGGAAAGGCACTGCAATGGATCAAGGAATACCTGTCGGGAAGAAATCAGCGAGTCATGGTACGTGACGAGGTATCAGAGTGGGCTCCTGTGATGAGTGGGGTTCCACAGGGGTCAGTCCTAAGACCGGTGCTGTTTCTGGTATATGTGATCGATATGACGGAAGGAATAGACCCAGAAGTGTCCGTGTTTGCAAATGATGTGAAGTTAATGAGAAGAATTGAATCGGATGACGAGAGGCAGAAATACAAAGGGATCTGGAGAGGTTGCAAGCTTGGTCCGGAAATTGCCTCCTTGAGTTCAACCTCACCAAGTGCAAAGTCATAAATAATGGGGCAAGAGACTACAAACCTCACTCAAGGAAAAGGTTCCTCAGGTGAGTATAACACCAGGCACATCTCCTGATGTGCACACCAACCAAATAACGGCTGCAGCATATGGGCGCCTAGCAAACCTAAGAACAGCATTCCGACATCTCAATAAAGATTCGTTCAGAAATCTGTATATTGTGTAAGTTAGGCGTATATTGGAGTAGGCAGAACCAGTTTGGAACCTAAACCTAACCAAGCATGTAAGGAAATTAGAGAAAGTGCAAAGGTTTGCAACAAGACTAGTCCCGGAGCTAAGGGCCATGTGCTAAGAGGAGGGGTTAATGGAAACCGATTTGACGACACTGGAGGACAGGAGAGATAGCGGGGATATGATAACGACATATAAAATACTGAGAGGAATCGACAAGGTGGACAGAAACTGGATGTTACAAAAATGTGACACAGCAACAAGAGATCACAGTTGGAAGTTGAAGGCTCAGATGAATTACAGGGATGCTAGGAAGTATTTTTTTCAGTCTCAGAGTTGTCAGAAAGTTGAATAGCCTGGGAAGTGATGTAGTGCAGGCAGGATCCATACACAGCTTTAAGAAGACTTATGATAAAGCTCATGGAGCAGGAAGAGTGACTAAGTAGTGGCCAGTGAAGAGGCGAGGGCCAGGAGCTGTGACTCGACCCCTGCAACCACAACTAGGTGAGAACACACATACAAATATGCATTCCTATTCTAGACAAAAAGTGGTCCCTATGAAGACGAGTGTTTCTACAGAACCGACTAGGTGGCTAGAACATAACTAGAACCTAGCTAGAGGCAGTGAAAAGAGGTGTTAATCACACACACGGATTCTCAGGGAAGACCTTCATTGAATCACAGTAGCATATTTTACATTACCTTGACAGTAGCTTGGCATTCCTAGTTTCGAAGGTTCTTATTAACCATCATATCATATTCCTAGGAGATCTGGTAAAGGTACTGTTGTGATCTTTGAAGTGAGATTCTCTGACATTATCACTTCCAGGTCCTTCACATTAATTTTTGGTTCTATTATTATGTTGGAATTCGCTTTATACACTGATCCAGTTTTTATATCCTTGAGCTTTCCACAGCGAAGTAATTGAAATTTGTCCTCATGGAACTTCATATTGTTTTGTGAGGCTAATTTAAACACTTGGTTTATGTCTGCTTGGAGATTTGCAGTGTCATGCTGGAATCTTGATTAGAGAAAGTGCAGTACCTCGTGGATCAGAGTTTTTGTCTGTAGCCGCATCTGACTTTATTCTATTTACTGTTACTCTTTCTGTTCTATTTGTTATAGACCCATCTACCCACTGTTATTCCTATATCACACATTGTGTGGGCT